AAAGGAAATTAGGGACTTTTGTTAAAATATAGATCTGGGTTTGAAAATAGCCTGAATAGCCCATGACTCAATCCAAACCCAGGAAGAGCCCATTTCCGGTAATATCAAGATTATGGATAATTCATTCTACGGCCCGTCAACAGAGACATACATTTGGCCCCCGGATAATAGCAAATAGACAGTATTTGTTGGCAAATTATACTGTGCACCAGGGCGCATAGTGCATTGTGCTCCCTGGCCCAAAACGACGTCGTTTAACCTTTTTCACGTGTTTGCTGTTAAATCCTTAAAAAAAAAATCATGTTTCGAATGTACAGAATTGTATAATAGAAAATACGGGATTTTATACCTGAAAACACATAATTTTATACCTAAAAACACATAATCTTATACCTGAAAATCTTCATGTTTCGAATGTACAGAATTATATAATAGGAAACACATAATTTTATACCTGAAAACACAGAATTTTATAACAGAATACAAAATGACGTCATTCTGGGAGATGGTATAACGATTGGTATTTGTTCAATTATTATACAGTGGATCACTGTGTGGAGTATGATTAAAATGATACTTTAATATTATTATAATGAAATTAGTGTGTATGGAGAATGAAACTAAATAACAGAACACATTATTGTCAAATGAAACTGTAATATAATTAAAATGACACTTTAATGTTGCTATAATGAAACTAGTGTGCATGAAAAATGAAATTAAAATCTAGAACCATACAATAATATATATTGTCAAATGAACCTGAAGTGTAATTAAAATAATACTTCAACATTACTATAATTAAACTAGCATTTGTGAAAAATGAAACCAAAAAAAAAAAAAAAAAAGGATCAGAGCTAATGTAATAATGTATATTGTCAAATGAAAATGTAGTAGAATTAAAATGATACTTTAGTATTGTTATAGACTTATAGTGAAACTAGTGTGTGTGAAAAATGAAACAAAAAACATAGCAATATTCTCAAATGAAATTGAAGTGTAATTTAAATGATACATACTTCATAGTTTATGTTACTACATAGACCATGGTCCATAGTAAAATTTGCCGTATTTGTTTTCTCCTTTTTTTTTTTTTGGTGACAAAGTGTATTGGATAAGTATCGCTCTTTATAATTATTTGTAAATCACATATGACAAATTATGCTCTACTTACTTGACAATATCAAACTCATGTTTCTTAAGATATAAGGGAATCCATCGACGTAATCAAAATTTATTTGTAAATAAACTTATAATATAATTACAAGTCAAAATTTTATTTTATATATATATATATATATATATATATATATATATATATATATAATTTTATTAAATTTTTCTGAATAAGAGTCAAATTCTACGAGCATGGCAGCGGAGACAAAGGAACACCCTCATGGCCACATGCGTAGATGCTTCTTCTCGCCACTATTATTAACTTCATCATTCAATCATTCTCCAATAAATAAATTAAATAAATCAAATAAATTGTACCTTATTTAGTCATGTGCAGAAACAGAAAGCCCTCAGCTAATTTATATATCAGGGACCCCACCCCCCAGGACCATCCTTCTATCATGTTCAACGTACCATACGCATTGAAATTCTTTCTACAATATTCATACCACATAAAATCATATTATTTAAAAATAAAATTTGTAAACAGTAAGTAATACTATGGATGAACAATAAGTAATAAAATCATTCGTAATTTTTTTTTTTAAATTAATAATTCCAAGGATTTTAGGTTGCTGTAATAAAGCATGAGATGCTATAGATCGAATAATACGATAGATGAACAAATGCTCGTGCATGGTCGGCCCTGTAGGATGACAATACGACATGCAAAAAATACAATGTACTGGGCAGGTTGACTGACAAGTGGCACGAATGAGTTGTCAGAGTATATAAAACATTATTCTGATATTAAAAAATTACGAATTTAATTATTGTTATAATTGATTTTTTTAATGTTATTTATCTCTAATGTGATTTATAGATTATTATACAATAACAAAATTTAATTAGTGTACATTCTCAAATAGTAATAATGAATTTGTCTCATCACTCAAAAAAAATTCTAAACAGTATTTTTCATGCTAATATATGTATATAAATAAAATGTTTTGTTTTGTTTTTTGTTTTTTTAAGTTAAGGAAGAGTTAAAAAATGACTGACATTTATTAGTGTACTAGGCATAACAAAGTCGGGAGTGGTTGATATATTTCCGTTTGACCGGAAAAGAAATTCCAATCACGAGGCTGTGGACAGTTCCGGTCGTGCGGTCTCTCAATCAATTATGCTACGGCGGAGGGATCGGAGTAACGTGATACATTATCACATCGATTAATATGCTTAAAAAATAAAAACAGTTCGGATGGACAGCTCAGTTAGTCACATAGATGAAGTTTGAGAACAATGACTTGGAATCGAGTCTCACCAACAACAGTGTGAGAGTAAATTTGGAATCGAGTCTCACCAATAACAGTGTGAGAGTAACCTCTCAACTTGAGGGACTCCTTGTGCGACCAAATGTTTTCAGTTGATTTATATCATCTCAGATGCTCTATCGAGTCATGACGCTGGGTCTTTGGAGTTGGGGATGGTAACAACAAAAGAAAATAGTTATTAGAGTGTTTAATTACTCATTTTTTAGGCGTATCAACTAATTTCATGGTGTATCACAACATCGTTGTCATGGTGTATCACTATTAGTTGTCTCCCTCAACCATTTTTACTTTTCTTTGTTTTCATGTTTGAGTAGTACGGAGTATTGGAGCAATTTGGCTGTAAAATTTTGGCCACATGTGATATGTCGTAGCCACCAGTTGTTACCACGTAATTTCAAATTTCAATACATATCCAATTATAATAAGTTACATCAAATGTGTGGAAACGTACATGTTGTTTTCGTTCTAGCTTGTGTGTTTTGATTGACAGTTTTTTTTTTTTTTTTTTTTTTTTTTTTTTTTTTTTTTTTTTTTAATGGTAGAAGTGTAGTTATCAATTGGGCCATATCCATTTTGGTCACGTATCTGGTTGTATACATCCAATCATTTTGAATGAAGTAGTATATATATAAATATAGATGAAAAGTTTTTGTGCAATTTAATTTTGGCTAATAAAATATTGATGCATGTGGATAAAGAGGTTTTTTTTTTTTTTTGGGATAGAGTATCCCTTCAACCGATAGTCAAAAGACTAATCTCCCGTTCCTATACGGGTGGGATCAAACCGCAACCTCATGCTTAAGAGACAAGTGCTAAACCACCACATCAACCGTGTTGGATATGTGGATAAAGAGTTTGTTAGTCAATATTGATTGCATATATATATTCACATCCTTAACAAAGTGACATTTTGGGTATAATCAACTAGAAAGTTTGATATGTGAGTTATGGAAGAAATAATAATTTTAGTGATTTATTACCATATTTTAGGAGATTGTTTACCATTTTTTATGGTCAATTAATTTGTAATTGATCATGTGAATTTGAGAATTTACTTTCCTATTTTGGTCAAGGACAATCATTGTTCTAATTTGTATAAATACATTAAAGAAGGGATTGTAGTGGGTTCACATGGGGCACGACGATTTTCCATCACTCTCCAGAAGAGTTGATTCCGGCTCTGAACCGCGATGCTAATGAAGTAGCTACTAGACGGTTTTATTAACCTCCCGGGCCTTAGGCCTTTTACCCCACTAAAAAAAAATTCAGAATCAACATATATGTTTAGTGTATAAGTTTTATGAATTGATCATTGGCTATATACTAAGATCAAATACTTGTCATTAATTGTCAAAAATTATAATTAATAGTAAAAATGTAACTTTATGGTCGTTATATATAAATAAATAACAATTAACATAATAAATATATAACGATAATAACATCTTGAATTTTATTAAAAGAAATAAAATAAATAAGCATCGATCCTTATCTATTTGTCGAATACATATTGGTGATATTTTTGAAACTATTTATAATATGAAAAAGAAGATTTAGTAGTACTTATTAATTGTTGTCATAAGGTTACTTGCTAGTGTTATGTTAATTGAAAGAGGTAGGAATTGTGGGGGTTCACTCGCATATCATTTTGATATGGAAAGTGGAAACTCAGTGATGACAGCCTAGCTATCCTCATTCATCATTTCTTGTGGCCCCCACTCTCCTGTCCTCTCATCTCCGCTCCATGCTACTTTCCCTGTCCCCGCACACACAAAATCCCCCATTTTATGCTCTTAATTATCTCATTAATATCATTTTTGTTTTGTTGAGTAGTATGATAAAACGTAGTATCTATTTATAACTATTTTCTTAATCTATGAAGTATAAAGGGTTGATATTATTTTTACTGAGGCTTAAATTCACGACTACTTATTTGAGATAGTCATTTCATGCCCTTATACCACAATGTCATTAGTTAATAACATCCTATTTAATAATATAATATTAATATTAAAAAATTACGAAAAAACAAAACACAACTGAATTATGCTAACTCTAGAAAAATTGTGTCATTTGAACTCACATGTATTAGATGACAGGTAAATTTTGATATTCAAAATTTTTGAAACCAATTAAGTAAGATTCATATTATTGAGAAATTTAAACTCTCGTCCCTTCTCTCTTAATGAAACTTATTAATTTATGATGGCTTTTATGACCACTAAATCAACTCAATGGGTCAATAAAACACACAATTATGTTGCAACATGTTGATAACATACTAGCCAATGAAAATTTTTTGATTTGTAATCAATATGTGTTTGAATTTAATAATATGTTACAAATAGATGAATGGGTGAATCATAATATTGATATCAAAATATTACAAGATTGATTATATTGTTGATATGGATCGTCTCAAATCACGGGGTGATTTGTTTCTATATGGTCTTCTTATTATATGAGGTGTTGCTTCCTCTTTTCACACTGTTTTTTGTATTACTTTATAATATTGTCAATATACGGACTAATTCTTTTTTATTTTATTCCATCTTAATTGCCACTCGATCACTCGGTCGTTCCTTTTTTCCTTGTCGTCAATAGCAATAGCACCGATATCATAAAATTACAAGCGCCCTCTCTTCTTCTTCTTCTTCACTCTGCTCGAAAGTGTTTGAAGCTTCTTATAGGGCGGTGGGGGACTGACTTTTTTGACTGCTCAATGGGAGAAGAAGAGAGAAATCCCATGAAGGCGCTAGTAAGTACGTTGTTTTTTTTTGTGGTTCTGCTAACAATAGCTGAGTTGCTGTTTCCTGATCTTTTTTTCCGCTTTGGGTATCTCACAACGTTGTCTGTTTAGTCCAGTGTTTGTATGAATTTAGTGCTTCTCTCTTGTCTTGTCAGATTGGAGGCTCTGTGATTGAAATTGACTTCAGAACATGGTTTGTACTGTCATTCTTGTTTTCTGCAAAATTTTGAGGATGAGGGGTTACTTGTTATGCTTCAAGACTGCTGCTTTTTTTTCTGATTTCTTTTGGTATTGAGTTGATCTGTTATCCTTGAGTGTTTTAGGGCGTATTGTTTGATCCACATTGTCTTCTGGTTTCTGATGGAGATTAAAAGAAAGGGTAGATTCAGGATTTTGTGATGTTGCTAATCTTAAAGTTCTGCATTTTCTTCAATTTCTTTTGTGGTGAAGGCAGTATTGTGAATTGGTAGGATTTAGATTAAACATTTTGCCCAAGAGGGGCTATTGAGTGATCTGCTTGCTAGCTGTTACAGGTGCAATATTCATGAGTCAATGTGATCATTACATTAGCACGAGTTTGGAGTTCAAATCTCTTTCCAGCTTTATTTCCATTGCTGTTTCTTTCTTCATCTTTTTTATACTTTTGACCTTAAACAAGTTTCATTCTCATTGGCCAATCAAGTTGAGTTCTTTAATGCATTTCCTGAATTTTCAAAAGCATTTAGAATTGATATGTTGGATGTTTTAATTGAAGTTCCCTTTACCTTTTTCCTTTTTGACGCCCTTGAATCGTTCTTTCCAGGTATTACTGATTTTGATATTGTTGCTGAATAAAGGCGTAGAACACACTGAAGCTCAATTCGAGGGAGAATGCAAGTTGAATAAACCTTTGAAACCCAGACCTCACAGTGTGTCAGTATTGGAGTTTGGGGCTGTGGGGGATGGGAAAACATTAAATACTGTAGCGTTTCAGAATGCCATATTTTATCTCAAGTCCTTCACGGACAAGGGTGGGGCACAGCTCTATGTTCCAGCAGGCAAGTGGCTGACGGGAACTATTGATCTCACTAGTCACCTCACACTCTTCTTGGAGAAAGATGCCATTATTCTTGGATCAGAGGTCAGGATTCACAACTCAAATTTCATCATCTTTTATGAAAATAATAAGTTGTTTCCAAGCAACACGTGGACCGTAGTCACTTATGGGTGGCGCTGAAATTCGAACCTATGACCCTGATACCAAATTGAAGCATGTGCTCCATCTCAACTAAAAGCCTAAGCTGGCCTAAGTTGATAGTTGGATTGCACATTAAGGCTATATGCTCAACAAATATATCCTACATTAAGCTTATATGCAAGAGCTTATGCTACCATCTTTACTCGAACATTCTTATCAGGATTACAGTCATTGGGAAGTAGTTGGTCCCTTGCCATCTTATGGGAGAAGTATTGAGGTACCCGGTGGAAGATATCGCAGCTTGATTACCGGAAGCAATGTGACAGATGTCGTGATAACAGGCAAGAAATTTCTACCCTAAGGTGGTCAAGTACATTATTGTTTTTAATTTTGGGGAAGTGGTGATTAGTTAGTTTTGTACGAATCTTGCACCCCCCTTATGTCAATTCATTCTGCAGGCAATAATGGAACTATTGACGGGCAGGGTGCCGTGTGGTGGGAACAGTTTGATCAGCATGCCTTGAATTACAGTCGCCCCCATCTCGTGGAATTCATCAGTTCTAGTCATGTTGTTATTTCAAACTTGACCTTTTTGAATGCTCCTGCTTGGAACATTCGTCCCGCATATTGCAGGTACCGTGTTTAATGTGCCTTGTTAGTGCTATCTGTATTTATGATTTTGTAAACATTGTGTTTGTGTGTATATTTGGTGAAGTTCACAGAATCGTTTACTGTTTTACACTTTTACAGTAATGTGCTTGTTCAGAACATAACGGTTCATTCTCCATCCAAGTCACCATACACTAATGGCATCGTCCCAGGTTTGCTGAAAATACATTGGCTTTATCTTTTCGAATGTTGAGGATGATTATATCTCTATTTTAAGTGGAGATTTGCCCTTGCTTGTGTAAATTTGAAATTTTGTAAAGGAAATTTGATCTATTTCATACCTTTTATTCAGATTCTTCCAACCATGTCTGCATTGAAAATAGCAACATTAGCATGGGTCAGGACGCTATTGCGCTCAAAAGTGGTTGGGATGAGTATGGAATTGCCTATGGGAAACCTACTGAAAATGTCCACATTCGAGACGTTCGATTGCAGTCTACTGAGGGGGCTGGCGTGGCGTTTGGTAGTGAAATGTCGGGTGGAATCTCAAATGTACTTGTAGAGAATCTTTTAGTTCACGAATCACTTGTGGGGATTGAATTGAAGACGGCTAGAGGAAGGGGCGGTTATATCCAGGGTGTTATTTTGTCGGGTGTGGAAATGGAAAATGTTTCGGTGGGAATCAAAGCCACGGGTTACGTTGACACACATCCGGATGACAACTTTGACCCTAACGCATATCCTGTGGTCAGCAATATCACCTTCAAGGACATAGTTGGAACAAATATCTCAACAGCCGGGAATTTCACTGGATTACCCGAATCTCCCTTCACCTCGATATGCCTCTCGGATATCTACTTCTCCATTTCGCCCGACACTTCAACACCGCAATGGGTATGCTACGCTGTGTCGGGTGTTTCTTCAAATGTCTCGCCCGAGCCTTGCTCAGAGCTTCAGAACCCGATTTCTGGTACATATTCAACAACTTACACCTCCCTTTTGCGTCCATTCACTCAAGTTGCAATCCTTTAATCATCCTCCCAAGTTATACACTTTCTATTTGTTGAATCTGCACAATGAGATGAAATTCTTTGCTGGTGTATACTCGAAATAAAACGTGAATCAGTAAAGCTCGGGCAAGCAAAATTCTTGACGTTGCAGATCATCACCTGTGTACAGCATCGGTTCTTTGTTCATGTAAGAAAAGTTTTGGTAGCGCGAAGTTCATTCAGATATTTGTTCCTGTCCATTTATTTATTTCCAGCTTTTAGTCATTTATTTCACATTGTTAATTTGAGCACTGGAACAGCTCAAAGATTTGTCAGGTGAAAGGGGTGTTATAGTGAAGTGATATTGTTGCAATAAAACTGCCATCTTGTGAGAATCTATACACTCAGTTTTAGTGAATACTGCCATATTATATATTATTACAATTATGCAATATTTATAGGCAAAAACTGCATAAAAATCCAACTGGAATCTCAGATGAATTGAAGCATCATGACAGTATAAAATGTGTTCTTTCTGCTGTTTCCTGGCTTTCTTGATTGAATCTTTCAGCCCCTTCCATCATCTCCTGCAACATGTTCTGTAGATCCTCCAAACTACTTGCAGCCTACAGAAACAACCCAGATTAATGTAAGATGAACCATGTATCATTTGGGGAATCCTTAAAATTATATGAATGTTGCAGAACTAGGTTACCTGAGACTTCTCCTTTTCCATCATGGCCACCATTTCTTGCATGAACCCACAAAATTCCTGTTCAAATGATGATAAAAACCAGATGCTTTGAGCTTGTCAGAACTCAGAACATACAAAAAATAATTTTTAAAAAAAAAAGTAAAAAGAAACTAACTTTATCATCACTGTTATCTGCCAACAGGTCAAGTAACCCAGCATCATAGACTGATCTCTTCCCTTTGTCAGACAGAACTGCAATATATAACAATGGTGTATGAATGTATCCACTAATAGACAGACAGTCAGACAGACATACACATGAAAAAGTAGTATCATTTCACTCTACCAGAATAAGCTTCTTGAATTTGCAGAAATTTATGTTTTGCTTGTCCAACAATTGCAGGGTCTTTCACACATCTATCTGGGTGCCATTTCTTGAACACAAAAAAAAAAACAAAAAATTAAAACAAAACCAAGAATGAAGGCGACGATGATCATGAATATGCAGTAGAGTACCAGAGCAAGTTTCCTGTAAGCCCCTCGGATTTGAGCATCTGAAGCTTGTTTACAGATTCCAAGCACAGAATAATAACAAGATTCTCCGTTGGAACGCACTAACTCCATGTATTATTACTACAATTCCCAGAAAATTTCAGCAAGAAGCATGCAGTACTGAGGAAGCAGGGTTTGTGTTGTATGCATTCTGGCAAATTTGGTTTAATATGTTGAGTTTTTAGTGTGAGAAAAAGTAAGAATTGTGTGTGCTGACTCAGAAGAAGGTTCCAGAAGTTAATTGTCTGACCTCAAAATCTGGTGGCTGAAATATCTTGGAGGGGGACTGCAAAACATCTCAGCTTTCAATATCTGATTTAATTACAATCACACATTTTCCCTCACAAACTGTGGTGTTCCATTGCCTTTTTATCTACCTTATATAATCATATAAATTCACAAGCAATATTGTATGAATACAGTGTTGTAAAAATCGGCCTAGGCGCCGCTAGGCTGAAGCGATTTCAGCTCTAGGCGGCTTTTAGTTAGCTGGTCGACTAACCGGCCGACTAGGCACCTGAGTTGGGCGCCTAACTCCGCCTAGTTGGCGCCCAACTTGATCGAGTGGTATTTTTTGCCTGCTTGGTTGCTCCTCCAGTCATGTACTCAATAACCATCTAACATATGTAGCCGACTAGTTTGTGGGATAATAATAGTCTAACTCACAATCCTGAGTGGGAAAAGTGGAGACGATATACTCGAATTACCCAACCGCCTAGGAGGCACTCTAGGCGCTAGGCGACCCCGGGCAACTGACTAGCGCCTAGCACCTTCTGCAACACTGTATGAATATAAAGAATTATAAACTCGTGTCAAAAGTCACATCATTCGAATAGTAAACTAAACAGGTAAAATGGAAAGAGTAAGAAAGAAAATCATCAAACTTGTATGTATGTGGAAATTTACATGTCATTGTTTTTGAAACATGGTATAAACTACACTGGTAATTACCTTTTTCTGCACACTGGTTATCTCTCAAGGATGGAAGGGAAACACTCAAAAGTTATACAGCAAACCTACAGGCAACTGGGGGTGTGGGTTGCTGTACTCACAAGTATGTGTATGTAAGCAATAGGAACAAAGAAAATAAAGCCAGAAAAAGCTCTACACAAACCTCTCTATCTCTCACTCCCCAATTAAAAACAAGGGAACAAATAAAAGAATCAGAAACAGTTTTTCTCACATTCTACTTCCTGTTTCCAGGTTTACGGTTCAGTTCAGCAGGAATGGCCTGCCTTCCACCACGTTGAGGATTATGACCACTTCCACCGCTAGGCTTTCTCGAGTGTGAAGGGCCTGTTTTGTTAGGCTTGGTTCTAGATTCTGGACTCTTCATTGGTTTCATGTTTGGTTTTGGGACATTTGATGATACCATACCATTGCCAAAACTGCCAAATTTGGAATGGTTGAACTGCCAAAGCAAATCCGGTTCAGATGAATCGCTTGTTGCAGCATCGAGTTCATCCAGATCATCAGCAGAAGCCGTGATGTCAAAATGGTTGCTGTCAGGGAACAGGTTACACGGTTTTTTTGGGAGCGATTTGAAGGAGTCTGAGAGGTATTTCTGGTAAAAAATGTCAGACATGTTTCCCATTTCAGATTCCCAACACCCAAACGGGCTTTCCATTCCTTGAATCGGTTCTTGCTTGTTCACCATCACCTTGTCTACCCACTCGCCCGAGCTAATAAGCTTATTATCTTCTCTATAGTTTTCGCCAGGACTGCTCACCGGTGGCCATGGAGGGGAATTTCCCAGTAACTCATCAAGATCAAAGCTTTGCCTCTTTTCCCTTAATCCAGGCTTCTTGTTCACCTGCAAATCACAAGAATTTTCATGATTATCTGGAAGATAACAACTGCCACAAGCCAACAAGCAAGGCTATCAAAGATAATTACCTCAATGCAATCTACTTCTGATTGTTTCCTCTGATTGTTTGAACTTGTGAGTGTATCTTTGCCATGTAAACTAGTTTGGAAAGACGATGGCTGCATGATATGTGGGCTGCTCTGAAGCTTATGTTGAATGGAGACTGGTTCTGCTTCTTTCTTCGCTAGTGCAGCCTTCAGAACAGATATCTGATGATTTCAATAAACATTAGCTTCCGGACAGTGTAAAAAACACTTAATGGCTATATGCTCACACGCCCCCTGTGAGGTGGGCTGAGATTCGAACCCATGACATTTGATCTGGCTCTGATACCAAATTGAAGCATGTGTTCTATCTCAGCCTAAGCTGATAGTTGGATTGCACATTAATGGCTATATGCTCACACCTAGTTTCCTATCATACCATACCAAGAAAGAGGAAACAAAACCTTAGTACCTGTTCTTTAAGCTCTTTTACATCTGCAGAATCTTTGTTTACTCTTGCAGCACCGAGTTCCACAGCAGCCACTCTCTCAGCAAATTTAAGCGTACTGATTGTTTCTCCAACGGCATCAGGCTCGGGGCTTATGTGGACGAACATCAGCGTCTTGGCCTGTCCACCTAAAACACCATAAAACGAACCCGGTGACATTCTGGAAAGGAAATCAAGAACAAACTTTAATGATCCACTCACTATATATCCTCACCAAGAGAGTCCTGAAGCAATTGTGTAAGTTTGCTGTTCCTGTAAGGGACATGTGCATTCTTCTGTGCAAGGGCGGATATTACGTCACCTAGAGCAGAAAGAGATTTATTAATGTGCTGTGCCTCCTTTAGTCTATCTCCCGTGACTTCAGACTTATCGACCCTCTCGCTCCCAGCAAGATCAACCAAATGCATGCAACCACGAAGGCTCGTTCCAGAAGTCAGGTCTTGCCCCCGAACATGAACAGTTAAGCAACTGTGAGAGCGGCTGCTACGATCATTTAGTGCTGTTGCCCCTACTGCACGGTTCCTTTGTCCTAGGTTCATCAGATCGATAACATCTGAAGTTGAAGTCACACGAACCACACTAGCATCTGGCACAGTGAGCCCCTGAGAGCAACTGCGGATTTCTAATGTAATAACAGATTAAGGAATCCAATCATGAAGAATGTGGGGTTTATATGCCTAATAATCGTGGGAACAAAAGGAATCAGTAAGAAAAACATAAATTAGTGTCATTTCTGTGGAGGATATCTTTTGTTCAAACCATCAGTGACAAGGAGGTCTCTAACTTGCTCGTTATATATCTCAATCATCTGAACAAACACATCGTAGTGGAAAGTGTCCTTTCTTTGCTCTGCAAGAAGGAATAAATCGCCCAACGCCCTATAGTTTACCCCTTGGCTTTGTTCTGTGAGATCCTTCGGTCCAGACTGAAGACAAAGCATAGAATTCAGCACAGACAAAAAAGTCGAACCATACTTTCTAGTACTTGACAAGGAAATGCTTTTCATATCTAACCATGGTAAATGTTTTCCCTGATCCTGTTTGACCATATGCAAAAATGCAGACATTGTAGCCATCAAGGACTGATCGAATCAGTGGCTGTGTGTCTGAAAACACCTCCCCTGTAGAAAAAGAAAAACGGTGTAATAGGGGTAATGTTAGTATTATAAGAGCCTCTCGCAAAATGTTTACCAACCTTGAGTGGCAGACGGTCCAAATACTTTGTTGAAATTGAAAGAGCGATGCCCTTTCCCATGCTTGGATGGAGTGTTAATTGTAATTGTACCATCTTCAATCTGATCTATGGCACTCGAATAGCTCGATTGCCCATGTAAGAAAGGCCTTACTCTACAGTAAACTCTTATGCTTCCTGATTGAAATCAAAGTATAACCTTTTCATCTCAAGACCAGAAGGAAATGTAACTTGCATCATAAGAATTTTCAAAGAACAACATGGTACCTTTAAGGTCCTGGACTTGATTGTAAAGCTTGCGGTTTTCCTCGAGAACTCTATGATAACCTGAAGCTGCATGAGCTAAGCCGTGTATGTGCAGACCTACAAAGCAGGGATGCCATTAGGCTGAAAAACTGACATCTAAAATGTAAATTTTGACGCACAAATTAGCAACATTTCTTACCTATGTTGTGGATTTCCTCATCGAACTTCATTTGCATGAACTGTACACCTGCTTTTGTAGTGGAAAGAGTTTGTTTCAACTCCTACAGTGAAGTTAAACCAATACTCTTTTCTGTCAAATTTGGAGTTCAAGAAATAGGAGAAAGTCATGAATCTCAGAGAGTTTTATGTCTTAGTGTCTTACCTTAAGACCTTTTTCCTGTTCATCGACAACCATTTGCTGTTTAAGACATCTTCTTTGAAGTTCTTCATCGATGATATTGTTGTTCTTCTGAAAATCCTCTTTTTTCATTACATTAATGTTTCTTTGTTCAACCTTAACGCAAAAGAAGAAGAAACAAAGAATTATTTATATCCTCTCCACAACTCACAAAATACATCAGCTAGATTATTACCTTGGTGATCCCGGCAGTTTGTTTAGGAATTGGCTTGTTAACATGAGAAACAATTGAATCCTTGAGAGTTGCTCGCCTTTGCTGGATATGTGCATCAAGAAGTACATCAGACTATGCACGAAATATAAACAAGAAGAGAAGTATAAACAAGCAAAAATAAAAGAGAAAATGAAGGATAAAATCTATAATGAACATAAAAGAAAGCAGTGTTGTTCAACTGGCAGTCAAGAAACTTGCCACGTCGTTTTGGCTTGCAATGCGAAGCTCAAACTCCTCGACAACTTTGCTCAAAACCGACTCCACAAGCTGCAAAAAAACAAAAAGTTACTAGTTACTACCCTCTTGGCATGAAATGAACACAGTAGAGAAAACTTCAAAATCCGATTTAATTGATTAAGATCCAACCAGAAAGTGTTCATTTCTTAATTGTACAACTAACACCCTAAGCAGATCTGCAGTATTACAATCTCTAGGGAATTAACAAAAGCTAAATCTTTCGAATTCCTTCAAATATATAGTTCAAACTTACATTTGGAACCTCCTCAGGCTTCTTATCTAGAAGAATTGCACGAACAAGCATGCTCAACGAAGAGCTAGGCTGCAAATACGATTACACTTGGATAAACATTTCCTTGAATTCAATGAACCTAAATTAATCAGCAAAGCATAACTACCATTCTATTAGTTTCAGTCTCGGTTCCTGCACAATTCCCAGATTTCTCATTCATCAGCATATTCCTTGAAGAAGATGAGCTCATAAACGGCTCAGAATTTTTGCGTGTCAATTGTTTAGCACATGTGGTGGTGGGTTTTACATTTCCACCGAATTTCCAGACACCAATGCCACCTGACTGCTTCCATTCACTGTAGGATTTGAGACCCAAAACACAGTTGACAATCCTAGAAGATGCCCCACCCTGATAAATCAGCAATTTAGTCATATATATCACTAAACTGATGAGTAATTTCAAAATTGATCCCAGAAATAATGAGACTTGACTTACTTGCTCAAGATCAGATGCCTCAAAAGTGGGT